CGAACTCCCGACCTCAGGTGATCCGCCCACCTCAGCCTCCCAAAGTGCTGGGATTACAGGCGTGAGCCACCGTGCCTGGTCATTTATTGCATATTCTTATCCCCCAGACATGAGTTCTAGAGCTCAGAATGCTGCCTCTGGAGGGCGGGGGGTGGGAGGGGCTCCCTACGAGAAGCCCGAAAATTAATCTGCCACCCCCAAGTATGGGACTAGAATTCAGGCCATGTGCTCAGGAGCACAGAAACCCTGACACCCACACTGTTCCCCATGTGGGGACCCTCAGCAAGGGGGTCAGAATCTAGGACTCTCCTCCACAGGACCCAAGCTTCCCACAGAAGGAGTCCAGGATGGAGGGAGGGGCAGAGCCATGGAGGTGGGGACTAGAAAGCTCTAGTGCCAAGTCCCATGCCCTCCAACCAGGTTCAGGGCTGAGAGGGGAGGGTCCTACCATGTTCCACCATGTCTTACTGGGGTCCCTTAACTCCCTGCCCTGGCTGGAGTGAGTCAGAAATCTCCCTGCAGTCAGAGACAAGGGAAAGATCCACCTGTATGCTCAGAAGTGGGTGGGGTTTGGCCAGGCACAGTGGCTCTCGCCTGTAATCCCAGCCCTTCGTGAGGCTGAGGCTAGAAGCTTACTAGAGGCCAGGAATTTGAGACCAGCCTGGGCAGCATAGTGACAGTCCATCGCTAAAGAGAAGAAAAGAAGAGAAAGAGAAGAGAATAGAGGAGAGGAAGGGAGGAAGGAAAGAAAGAAGGAAGGGAGGGAAAGAAACCGAAGTTAGCTGAGTGTGGTGGTGCATCTGTAGTTCTAGCTACTCTGGAGGCTGAGGGGAGGATCGCTTGAGCCCTGGAGTTTGAGGCTGCAGTGAGCTATGATCACATCATTGCACTCTAGCAAGGGTGACAGAGTGAAACCCCATCTCAAAAAAATAAAAATAAAGAAGTAGGGTCGGGAGCCGTGGCTCACACCTGTAATAGCAGCACTGTGGGAGGCTGAGGCAGGCGGAACACCTGAGGTCAGGAGTTGGAGACCAGCCTGGCCAACATGGTGAAATCCCGTCTCTATTAAAAATACAAAAATTAGCCGGATGTGGTGGCAGACACCTGTAATCTCAGCTATTCGGGAGGCTGAGGCAAAAGAATCGCTTGAACCAGGGAGGCTGAGATTGCAGTGAGCCGAGATCCGCGGATTGCACTCCAGCCTTGGCGACAGAACAGACTCTCTCAAAAAAAAAAAAAAAAAAAAAAAGAAAAGAAAGAAAGAATGAAAAATAGTGTCCCCTCTCCCATCGCTAACGATGCTTCCAAAAGACACCCCTGCTTCCCCAGAACCCACCTCCACCCACCCTCTGTCCTTGTCCTTGCAGGTCCTGCGCTAGAAGCAGCCGGCACATCCACGCCTGAAATGCGGCGCTCAGTCCTGGTCAGGAACCCAGGCCACAAAGGCCTGAGACCGGTTTATGAAGAGCTCGACTCTGACTCTGAGGACCTGGACCCCAATCCCGAGGATCTGGACCCGGTTTCTGAAGACCCAGAGCCTGATCCAGAAGACCTCAACACTGTCTCTGAAGACGTGGACCCCAACTATGAAGATCTGGAGCCCATCTCGGAGGATCTGGACCCCGACGCCGAAGCTCTGGGCTCGGAACCCCAAGATCCCGATCCCATGTCTTCGAGTTTCGACCTCGATCCCGATGTGATTGGCCCGGTACCCCTGGTTCTCGATCCTAACAGCGACACACTCAGCCCCGGCGATCCAGACGTGGACCCTATCTCCTCTGACCTCACTGCCACCCCCCAGGTCTTGGCCACCAGCCCCGCGGTGCTCCCTGCCCCCGCCAGCCCTCCCCGGCCCTTCTCCTGCCCGGATTGCGGGCGAGCCTTCCGCCGCAGCTCTGGGCTGAGCCAGCATCGCCGCACCCACAGCGGCGAGAAGCCGTACCGCTGCCCCGACTGCGGGAAGTCCTTCAGCCACGGTGCCACCCTGGCGCAGCATCGTGGCATCCACACCGGGGCGCGGCCGTACCAGTGCGCGGCCTGCGGGAAGGCCTTCGGCTGGCGCTCCACGCTGCTGAAACATCGCAGCAGCCACAGCGGGGAGAAGCCGCACCACTGCCCGGTGTGCGGCAAGGCCTTCGGGCATGGCTCACTCCTGGCGCAGCACCTGCGCACGCACGGCGGCCCGCGGCCCCACAAGTGCCCGGTGTGCGCCAAGGGCTTCGGCCAGGGCTCGGCGCTGTTGAAACACCTGCGCACACACACAGGCGAGCGGCCCTACCCGTGCCCGCAGTGCGGCAAGGCCTTCGGGCAGAGCTCGGCGCTGCTGCAGCACCAGCGCACGCACACAGCCGAGCGCCCCTACCGCTGTCCGCACTGCGGCAAGGCCTTCGGCCAGAGCTCCAACTTGCAACACCACCTGCGCATCCACACGGGTGAGCGGCCCTATGCCTGCCCGCACTGCTCTAAGGCCTTCGGGCAGAGCTCAGCGCTGCTCCAGCACCTGCACGTGCATTCGGGCGAGCGTCCCTATCGCTGTCAGCTCTGCGGGAAGGCCTTCGGCCAGGCCTCCAGCCTCACCAAGCACAAACGGGTGCATGAGGGCGCGGCCGCTGCTGCAGCTGCGGCGGCCGCTGCAGCTGCAGCAGCTGCCGCAGGCCTGGGCCTCGCGCCTGGCCTCAGCCCTGCATCCATGATGAGGCCGGGGCAGGTCTCCCTCCGGGGTCCTGATGCTGTTTCTGTGCTTGGCTCTGGCTTGGGCCTCAGCCCTGGCACCAGCTCTGGCCGCAGCCCTGACCCCAGCTCTGGGCCGGGCACTCCGCCCGATCCCAGCTCCAAACCCCTCCCAGGCTCCAGATCCACCCCCAGCCCTACTCCTGTGGAATCGTCTGCCCCCAAGCCTGGGCAGGATGCTGGTCCTGACCTTGTGCCCAACCCAGACCTTGATCCTGTGCCCAGCCCTGACCCCAACCCTGTGTCCCACGGTGACCCCTGCTCTCCCTCTGGTGGCACTGTCAGCCCAGCCCTCCCTACCGGCAAGAGTCCAGAGGGGATACAGGAGCAAGGGGCACTGCTGGGGCCTGATGGCTGAAGGGGATGCCAGCATCCTTGGGGGCCTGGGGAAATTGTGTGTTGTGCAGTTAGTAAAATCCTCCCACTGCCTCCGGGCTCTGTGTCGTGGTTTACCTTTTGTGCTTTCTTTCTGAGCACAGCCCCTTGCTCCGGAGATGGGATGGTGTGGCCAGGGCCAGCCACAATCCGGAGCTCCAGTGTCCTGGCTTCCTTCCAGCTAGACTTCCCAGCTTAACCCACAATATCTCACCCTGGTCCATACCACTAGTCACCTCTCTGTTCTGCTCACTTACCCCTTGCTGCCCTTCTCCTCCTCCTCCTCCTCCTCCTCCTCCTTCTTCTTCCTTTCTTTTTTAGTCTCGCTTTGTCGCCGGGGCTGGAGTGCAGTGGCATGATCTCAGCTCACTGCAACCTCTGCCTCCTGGGTTCAAGTGGTTCTCCTGTCTCAGCCTCTTGAGTAGCTGGGATTACAGACAGGCACCACCACACCCAGCTAATTTTTTTATTTTTGGTAGAGATGGGTTTCACCATGTTAGTCAGGTTGGTCTCGAACTCCTGACCTCATGATCTGCCTTCCTCAACCTCTCAAAGTGCTAGGATTACAAGCGTTAGCCATCACACCTGGCACCCTTTGTTTTTCAAAGCCCGTGCAGTAGGCACACAAGTGGACAAAAAGAGGTTGCTCATTTATGCAATCAACAAACATCTCTGGATTGCTGGGGACTCAGCAGGAAACACGACAAGTGTGGCATCGACCTGCTCAGAGCTCATAGATATTAAATTCAGAATACTTAAAAAACAACTACAAGGTATGGTACCTTCTAGGAGAAGGAAGCATAACAAGACCTGATATAAATGGTGGGCAGCTTTCTCAATGAAGGATTTTATAATCCCAGTAATCACTAATTTATTTTTCTCTCAATGGCCCCAGGACGTAGATGACTGATTGAATATGCCCATTTTGCAAATGAGAAAAATGGAGGCACATGGACTTTTTTTTTTTTTTTTTTTTTTTTTTTTTTTTTTGAGACAGTCTTGCTCTGCTGCCCAGGCCGGAGTGAAGTGGTGTGATCATAGCTCACTGTAGCCTGGACCTCCTGGGCTCAAGCGATCCTCCCATCTCAGCCTCCTGAGTAGCTGGGATTTTTGGCCACCACTCACTGTGCTCAGCTTGGAGTTGAAAAGACTGTAGAAGATGTACAAGTAGCAGTTGTCAGTGACTAGATTTAAACCGCAATTGCACTTCAGAGTCTAAATTCTTAACCATTTCTTTCCAGGGCAAAAATATGCAAAAACCCTGGGGTTGTAGAAAGATGAGCTTGGGTGGAAGTAGGGGCCAGATCAGAGGGCCCTGATAAACCAGAGCGGGGACTTTGCTTGTCAGTCCAGAGCAATGGGAAGTCAAGGGCAGGTTCTCGCAGGACTGATAGGAATTATTCTTTGAAGACGCTTGTGGCTGCTGGGTAGAAAGTGGAGAGGAGGGAGGCTGCGATCGGGGAGGAGGTTGCTGCAAAGATCCGGGCCAGGAATGTTGGAGAACTCTGGGCTGGGAGCCACAGGGGTGGGGATAAGTGGTTCTATTTGGCACGTAATTAGGAAATCGTGTTTGCTGAAGGTCCGCATGAGAGGGGTAAAAGGAGTTTCTGCAAGAAAGAGGAAGACAGCGTTGAAAGAGTACGCAGGGTCATCACCAGGCACCAACGAGGATAAAGGGTCAAGTTCTGGACATGGAAGTCACGAGCCTGGCACCGGATTCGGGGCACGGCAGGGAGCCAGGGCGGAGATCCTCGTTGCCAAGCTCAGGGCCAGCCCATCCCCCGCAACCCAGAGCCCGTCGGCGATAGGACCTCGCGACCGCCTTCGACCCAGGGTGGAGCGCTCCGGCGAGGCACGCATGCGCGCTGTTCCGGCACAGGTTGTCGTGGCGCAGGGGGCGGGACCAGATACGGTCACGTGAAGGGCTCTCGGCTACCGGGTCACGTGACCGCGGCGCGGATCAGCTGATGCGGGAGGGTTTGAAGCCGCGCCGCGAGGGAGGGAGGTCGCAGTGACAGCTACGGCCCCTGGGACCCAGGCTGCTGCCCCGCCGCACCCGCCCGCGTCCCGCGCTCCCGCCCCAGCATGACAGCCCCGGCGGGTCCGCGCGGCTCAGGTGAGGGCGTGGGCGGCACCGTGGGGCCCCGAACCCAGGCGGGCGGGCTGGTTCTCCGACCTGGGGAGCTCCCAGTCTCCTTTTTTCTAAACTCCAGCGCTGACTTCTCAGCCTCCCCACGGTAGAGAAATGGGCAGACGGCTCCTAGAACTTGGGCAGCGGGTGGGCACCAGCCTCTCCGATTCTCCCTCCTGAGCCCAGGCTGTGCCGGGTTCCCAAACTCAGGCAGCGAGCGCGCCGGGCCGCCAGCTTCTCCCCTTCGGGACGGCGAGGTTCCCGGGATTTCCACGGGGAGCCTAGGTCCTGATGGCACAACTTTGGCTGGAACTCAGGCAGCGGGCACCAGCAACTCCAACCCGCACGTGAGACTCCCCGGCTTCCGCCCCTGATTCCTGGAGACAAATGCTAAGCTTCCCTAAATTCCAGCGTGGGCCGGGCGCGGTGCCTGTAACCCCAGCGCTTTGGGAGGCCGAGGCGGGCGGATCACATGGTTAGGAGTTCGAGACCAGCCTAGCCAAAACGGTGAAATCCTGTCTCTACTAAAAATACAAAAATCAGCCGGGTGTGGTGGCGAGTGTCTGTAATCCTAGCTACTTGGGATGCTGAAACAGGAGAATTGCTTGAACCCGGGACGCGGAGGTTGCAGTGAGCCAGGATCGCGCCACTGCACTCCAGCCTGGGCAACAGTGAGACCCTGTCTCAAAAACAACAATCAAGCGCGGAGAGCTGGAGGGATTTCCCCAAATCGGTTAACTGAATTTTAGCTCTCCAAACCCGCGGAAGTGCAGCCTTCTTAAACTCGGGCTTCCAGCCAGTTCTGATGCGCATCCCCCCTCTCCGCTTCGTCCCCCAAGGAGGCTGCAGGAACCCCTTGTGTTACTTCCACTTCTGGAGCTAGCTGGGGACCCCTACCTGATAGGCATCCTGGTGTCCCAGCTGGTAGGGTCTGGGGTGAGTTGGCTGTAATCTCAGCCCGGTATGTGGGCCCTGCCCTCTGGCTTTGTTATAAACAGCCACAGCAGCATCCAATTCCAAAGGGAGGGGCCGGGAACTTGTTCCTCTGTGCTCAGCAGGTTCGGATACTGCCCACATTTATCCTGACAGCTTTGCTAGGCAGGGGGCCAGGCCCTAGAAAGCACATCCCCATGGGGGTGTGACAGGGACAGTCTTGGGCTACCGTGACCAGCTTTGACTCTAGCAGTTGCTGAAACCTTAGATTTTCTCCTTAAGCTGGAAAAAAATAAACAGTGAGTAGAACAGCTTGTGTTTGCTGAAGAGATCTTTATCTGCTGTGTCTCATTGAATTCTCAGCAGCTTCAGGATCTCAGCCTCAGGGCTTTGGGAGAGGGTAGGCTTATTATTATTATTATTATTATTATTTTTAAAGAAACTGTTTTCTGTTGCCCAGGGCTGTAGCGCAGTGGCTCACTCTAACATCCAACTCCTGGGCTCAAGTGATCCTCCCACCTCAGCCTCCCGAGTAGTTGGAGTCCCAGCTAGTAACTACAGGCATGAGCCGTTACCACAGCTAATTAAAAACATTTTTTTTTTTTTTTTTTTTTTTTGGTGGAGAGGGGATCTCGTTGTATTACCTAGTCTCAAACCCCTGGACTCAAGCAATCTTCCCACCTTAGCCTCCCAAACCATCAGGATAACAGGCGTGAGCCACCGAGCCCAGCCAAGGGGTAGCCTTTTTAACATTTCTACTCTTCAGATGAGGAGATGGAGGCTCAGGGGGTCCCTGGAGTCACCTGACTGGAAAGTAGCAGGTCTGGGATTTGATCTTAGGGCTTCATGATTTCCAGGAGCTGGTGCTCTTCAGGGAGAAAAAAAAATGAGTCTTTAGTGGCTGGGCACAGGGTGGCTCATGCCTGTAATCCCAGCACTTTGGGAGGCCAGGGTGGGCAGATCATGAGTTCAGGAGACGGAGACCATTCTGGATAACACTGTGAAACCCGTCTCTACTAAAAATACAAAAAATTAGCTGGGTGTGGTAGCATGCCTTCGGTCCTAGCTACTTGGGAGGCTGAGGCAGGAGAATCTCTTGAACCTGGGAGGTGGAGGTTGCAGTGAGCGGAGATCGCGCCATTGCACTCCAGCCTGGGCAACAGAGTGAGAGCGAGACTCTGTCTCAAAAAAAAAAGTCTTCAGCAAATGTGTTCCGTTATTATTACTTATATTGTCAATTACCCCTTCTCCAGGTCTTTGGCTTCTGAGAGTGTCAGCTGATGGGCCAGGTTATAATGAATGCAGAGGTCATCTTTTGGGTATTTGTCCAGACAAACCTGGAATACAGGCTGAGTGTTATGCTCATATCTGGAAGCAGGAGTTGGGATAAGCCCAGGAGCCTTGAACGTCCAGTGAAAAGCCAGTGGGAGCAGTTAATTCTCTTCCCGCAGATCAGTAACAGGAATGTTGATGAAATGTTCTGACATTCACCATGAATTAGTCCCTGTGATTAATGCTTTATAAGCATCCAGTCCTAAGTGTTCCCATGAGAGATGATTATTGCCCCATTTTGCAGATGAGGAAACTGAGGCTCTGAAAGCTGGTGAGCAGGAGGGGCAGGAATCAGCCCAGGCCCTGTACCTCCTGAAACCCAGCTCATAACCTCTGCACAGGACTGGTGTATAGATACATAAAATGTTGCAGGTTTTCTGGGTTTTTTTTTTTTTTTTTTTTTTTTGAGATGGAGTCTTGCTGTGTCACCCAGGCTGGAGTACAGTGGTATGATCTTGGCTCACTGTAACCTCTGCCTCCCAGGTTCAAGTGATTCTCCTGCCTCAGTCTCCCAAGTAGCTGGGACTACAGGTGCATACCACCATGCCTGGCTAATTTTTGTATTTTTTAGTAGAGATGGGATTTCACCATGTTAGCCAGGATGGTCTCGATCTCCTGACCCTGTAATCCACCGACCTCAGCCTCCCAAAATGCTGGGATTATAGGCGTGAGCCACCGCACTCAGCCCTGGTTTTCTGGTTTTCTTTAGACCTCTCTGAGCTCTTCCTTGGCAGGAACATGGGGCCATGAAGATAGGGCATGTGCTGCCTTCCTTGTTCAGAAACGGGTAGAGGGGAGTTGCCCAGGCCTCACCCCCAATGCCCTCTCCTATTCCCACAGAGACCGAGCGGCTTCTGACCCCCAACCCCGGGTATGGGACCCAGGCGGGGCCTTTGCCGGCCCCTCCGACACCCCCAGAAGAGGAAGACCTTCGACGTCGTCTCAAATACTTCTTTATGAGTCCGTGCGACAAGTTTCGAGCCAAGGGCCGCAAGCCCTGCAAGCTGATGCTGCAAGTGGTCAAGATCCTCGTGGTCACAGTGCAGGTGAGATCTGCCAAGCAGGGGCCCCCGCCGGAGGCCACCTGTGGCCACTGTTCTCCTTGAAGAAGAATCTTTATTTTTTATTTTTCAATTTTTTTTTAAGACGAAGTCTCACACTGTCTCCTGGGCTAGAGTGCAGTGGCGCAATTTCAGCTCACTGCAACCTCTACCTCCCGGGTTCAAGTGATTCTCCTGCCTCACCCTCCTGAGTAGCTGGGATTACAGGTGTGCACGACCACATGCAGCTAATTTTTTGTATTTTTAGCAGAGACAAGGTTTTACCATGTTGGCCAGGCTGGTCTTGAACTCTTGACCTCATGATTCACCTGCCTCGTCCTCTCAAAGTACTGGGATTATAGGTGTGAGCCACCGTGCCCAGCCTTTGAAGAACAGTCTTAAAGCAGTGTAATGACAAGTAGGAAGCCATGTTGTGTGTAGCAGCTCCTTTTATATTTATTTATTTATTTTTATTTAATTAATTTATTTTTTGAGACAGAGTTTCACTCATTTACCCAGGCTGGACTGTAGTGGCTCAATCTTGGCTCATTGCAGTCTCTGTCCACTGGGTTCAAGAGATTCTCCTGCCTCAGCCTCCTGAGTAGCAGGGATTATAGGTGACTACCACCACGCCCTGCTAATTTTTGTATTTTTGTATTTTTTTTTTTTTTTTTTTTTAAGTAGAGACCAGGTTTCACCATGTTGGCCAGGCTGGTCTCCGACTCCTGACCTCATGTGATCTGCCCACTTTGGTCTCCCAAAGTGTTGGGATTACAGGCGTGAGCCACACAGCACAGCCTGCAGCCACTCCTTTTGAGCTTACCAGCATGTCCTTCAAGGTCCTGATGACTGCTGCTGTTCCCATTGTATAGAAGAAGCCACTGAGGGCCAGGCATGGTTGTTCATGCCTGTAATCCCAGCGCTTTGGGAGACCAAAGCGGGCAGATCATGTGAGGTCAGGAGTTGGAGACCAGCCTGGCCAACACGGTGAAACCCTGGCTCTACTAAAAATGCAAAAATTAGCTGGGTGTTGTGGTGGGCACCTATAATCCCAGCTACTCAGGAGGCTGAGGCAGAGAATTGCTTGAACTCGGGAGGTGGAGGTTGCAGTGAGCTGAGATCACGCCACTGCACTCCAGCCTGGGTGACAGAGCGGGACTCCGTCTCAAAAAAGAAAAAAAATCTTGATGAATGTTAGTCCCTGCTGTGAGATATACCAGTGCCCACCCTGTGTTGTAGCAGGGAGGACACAGTTGTGGGAGTGGCTTGGAGCTTTTGCCAAGAGGTGGGGTGAAATTAATCAAGGCAAAGAAATGCACAGGTGCCTGAGTTAGCAGGGCCTGCCCCACCCCAGTGGACACCTCTAGGGCCCTCTGTCCTCTTTCTCTTGCCTGTGCCCTGAGGGAGATACCCCCCGACCTCCATCCTAGCCATGCCAATCTCTGCTACCCTCTTTCCAGCTCATCCTGTTTGGGCTCAGTAATCAGCTGGCTGTGACATTCCGGGAAGAGAACACCATTGCCTTCCGACACCTCTTCCTGCTGGGCTACTCAGACGGGGCGGATGACACCTTCGCAGCCTATACGCGGGAGCAGCTGTACCAGGCCATCTTCCATGCAGTGGACCAGGTAGGTGCTGGTGCGTGGGCAGGTGTAGGTGGGTGGGCCGCAGAGAGGGGGCTGGGCTCACAGGCCCTCCTGTTCTCTGTCCACAGTACCTGGCGTTGCCCGACGTGTCACTGGGCCGATATGCGTATGTCCATGGCAGGGGTGACCCTTGGGCCAACGGCTCAGGGCTTGCTCTCTGCCAGCGGTACTACCACCGAGGCCATGTGGACCCAGCCAATGACACATTTGACATTGATCCAATGGTGGTCACTGGTGAGTGGGCACAGCGGGGCTTTGCTGTTTGGAGTCCGAGCTGTGGGATTAAAATCAACAGCTGTGGCTGGGCGATGTGGCTCACAACTGTAATACCAGCACTTTGGGAGGCTGAGGAGGCAGGATTGCTTAAGGCCAGGAGTTTGAGACCAGCCTGGGCAATGTAGGAAGACCTTGTCTCTATATACAAAAAAATTAGCTGGATGTGGTGGCGTCCCCCTGTGGTCCCAGCTACTCAGGAGGCTGAGACAGGAGGATCACTTGAGTCTGGAAGGTTGAGTCTGCAGTAAGCTATGATCACACCACTGCACTTCAGCCTGGGTGACACAGTGAGACCCTACCTCAAAAAAAAAAAAAAAATAGTATTCGGCCGTGCGCAGTGACTCACACCTCTAATCCCAGCACTTTGGGAGGCTGAGGCAGGTAGATCACCTGAGGTTGGAAGTTCGAGACTAGCCTGACCAACATGGAGAAACCCTGTCTCTACTAAAAATACAAAATGAGCCAGGCATGGTGGCAGGCACCTGTAATCCCAGTTTCTCTGGAGGCTGTGGCCAGAGAATCGCTAGAACCTCGGAGGAGGTTGCAGTGAGCTGAGATCGTGGCACCGCACTCCAGCCTGGGCAACAAGAGCGAGACTCCATCTCAAAAAAAAAAGTATGGTTAGTGTGAGTGTGACTCTTGCCACGTAGAAAGCACCAGGTGTAGGCCGGGCACGGTGGCTCAAGCCTGTAATCCCAGCACTTTGGGAGGCCAAGGCGGGTGGATCACGAGGTCAAGAGATCGAGACCAGCCTGGTCAACATGGTGAAACCCCGTCTCTACTAAAAATACAAAAAATTAGCTGGGCATGGTGGCGCGTGCCTGTAATCCCAGCTACTCAGGAGGCTGAGGCAGGAGAATTGCCTGAACCCAGGAGGCGGAGGTTGCGGTGAGCCGAGATCGCGCCATTGCACTCCAGCCTGGGTAACAAGAGCGAAACTCCGTCTCAAAAAAAAAAACAAAAAAAAAAAACAAAAAACGAAAGCACCAGGTGTCATTTTTTATTACGGTTCGTTCACTGAACATCCTCTGGCCCAGAGAGTGCCAGGCCTGTAGGAATGACCCAGCCCTGGGAAACACAGGGAAGAAGCTACAGGGAGCTCTGGGGAGACCAGCCTGGCCTCCCCTGCCCCCTGAGGCCCTTCCCTGCCTCGCTGTCCTCAGACTGCATCCAGGTGGATCCCCCTGAGCGGCCCCCTCCGCCCCCCAGCGACGATCTCACCCTCTTGGAAGGCAGCTCCAGTTACAAGAACCTCACGCTTAAATTCCACAAGTACTGCCTGCTCGCTCAAGGGGGGCCCAGGGTGGGGGAGGCACCACACCAGACACTCTCACCCCAGCAGCCACTTCCCTAAGATGGTAACAGGCCCATCCCCCCAGCACTGGCACATGCTTGGTGAGCACTTCCCCTGCCAGCTGCAGAATCAGCACGGGGCAGGGGTGCTGACACTCAGGCCGGAAGGGACCTGAAGACGCCCCTGCCCCTCACCCGAGCCTCCTGCCTAGGCTGATCAATGTCACCATCCACTTCCGGCTGAAGACCATTAACCTCCAGAGCCTCATCAACAATGAGATCCCGGACTGTTATACCTTCAGCGTCCTGGTGAGGCCCCCCAGGGACCCACGGGGCTCCTGAGTTGCAGGGCAGGGACATGGTCAGGGAGTCTCTGGGGAACGTTTCGGGAGCATTGGTCAAGGGCAAGCATTCAGGTGATGAGGGAGGGAGCCTGGGGTCTGTCAGGCCACGTGTCACATGGACCTTGGTGCTTCGGGGTGCCAAGGTTTACTCTGCTCCCAACTGGCCCCCACAGATCACATTTGACAACAAGGCGCACAGCGGGCGGATCCCCATCAGCCTAGAGACCCAGACCCACATCCAGGAGTGTAAGCACCCCAGTGTCTTCCGGCACGGTGAGCCCCTGAGCCCCAGACCAGTGCTGCCTGGGGGCCCTGACCTGCCCAGGAATGCCCTGAGCCTCAGATCATAAGGAACCAGGGACCCCGTCCTGTCCTGGGATCCCCCAAGCCCCAGACCAGCGCTGACCAGGGTTCTTGACTCATCCCAAGCAAGCCCTGAGCCCACTGACCTGCCAAAACCAGCCGTGCAGTCCCCTGGGTCTCCAGCCTGGCCTGGCATCAACGCTAGCCTCCCAAGGCTCCATGCCATCTTGGCCCTACCCACTGTGCTCTCCCAACAGGAGACAACAGCTTCCGGCTCCTGTTTGATGTGGTCGTCATCCTCACCTGCTCCCTGTCCTTCCTCCTCTGCGCCCGCTCACTGCTTCGAGGCTTCTTGCTGCAGAACGTGAGGCCCCGGTGTCATGTGGGCTGGCCCTGGGGTGAGAAGAGCAAGGCCTTCAAGGGCCCTGGGCCTGGACAGGCCCTCACCCTGCCTGCCTTCTGCAGGAGTTTGTGGGGTTCATGTGGCGGCAGCGGGGACGGGTCATCAGCCTGTGGGAGCGGCTGGAATTTGTCAATGGCTGGTACATCCTGCTGGTCACCAGCGACGTGCTCACCATCTCAGGCACCATCATGAAGATCGGCATTGAGGCCAAGGTGTGTCCTGCTCACGCCCTGGGCCCCAGGTCCCATCCCTGCCGTCAGTGCCCATTTGGGGCCACGTCCTCCCCCAGGCTCCCCCCAAGGGAAGGGCCAGGCCAGAAAGGTTGATGCTGCTCCCACCCACAGAACTTGGCGAGCTACGACGTGTGCAGCATCCTCCTGGGTACCTCGACGCTGCTGGTGTGGGTGGGCGTGATCCGCTACCTGACCTTCTTCCACAACTACAATGTGAGCTTTGTGCATGAGGCTGGGCCTTCCATGTGGTTACCCCATACCCTCCAAAGAAATCCCTGCACACACAGCACTCACCAGTCCTGGGCAGTGGCCTCTTGCAAGCCTCCTCCTCCTACCTGCCCATACACACGGGGTCATTGCTGTACCTGGGCAGGGCCCCGGGAGCCTGATTCTTCATGCCCACCCAGCTGAGTCCAGCCGTGGGGTGCCCTTGGACCCCCTCAGACACGGCCCCGCCCCCTCCAGGCACCCACTGGCTCCTGTGGCCACACCAGCTGTGCCCTTGGTGAGGCCCCACCCCCCCCACCTCCATGTGGATGCCCACAGCTGACCTGGATTGTGGCCACACACTCAACGAGGCTCCTTCTGACCCAACCCAGATCCTCATTGCCACGCTGCGGGTGGCCCTGCCCAGCGTCATGCGCTTCTGCTGCTGCGTGGCCGTCATCTACCTGGGCTACTGCTTCTGTGGCTGGATTGTGCTGGGGCCCTATCACGTGAAGGTAGGGGCCACCGTGGCTGGGGTGTGTGTGGCCTGCAGTCGAATGATCCCTGGCCCCCTCCCCTAAGCACCCTTACTCCTGGACTCCCCAGATCCAGTGACATTGCATGACTCAGCTGGACCCTGGGGCCTTACCAGCAGGTCTGACCCCTGGGGACCCTGACATTGACCCTGTAACCTGGACGGACACCATGACCCCCAGATGAACCCATCTGACTGCTAGTACTCCATGTACTGTACTTTCTAAACCCTGGTAACCTTGACATTGAGTCTATGGCCTGGTCACTGACACTATGACCCCATCATGACTGCTAGTACTGCATGTACTGTCCCCTCTAACCCCTGATGACCTTAACATTGACCCTGTGACCCGGTCATTGACACTGTGACTCCCAGTTAGCCCCATAGTGACTGCAGGTACTCTGATCTGTCTCCTCTAACCCCTGGTGACCCTGACATTGACCCTGTGACCTGGTTATTGACACCATGACTCCCAGATTAGCCTGTTGTGACTGCTGGTATTCCATGCACTGTTCCCTTTAACTTCAGTGACCCTGACATTGATCCTATGATCTTGTCATTGACATTCTGACCCCCGGATTACCCCTTGGTGACTTCTGGGAGTCTGTCCATCGTCCCATGTGGCCTCTGGTGACACTGAAACTGACCCTGTGCCATTATTGTCACAGTTGCTGGGAACCCTATTTCAAACTGGGTTACTCCCCTTCCTGCTCTATCTGCCCAGACCCTAGGTCAGCCCTGTGATCCTGCCATTGACCCTGGGACCTGGCCATTCACATGATGACCCCAGCCCAGGACCCAGCCACTCACATGGTGACCCCAGCCCGGGACCCAGCCACTCACATGGTGACCCCATCCCGGGACCCGGCCACTCACATGGTGACCCCAGCCCGGGACCCGGCCACTCACATGGTGATGCCATCCCGGGACCCGGCCACTCACATGGGACCCCAGCCTGATGCCAGCCCCCAGGTTCGACCACGCCTGGCCCCCTCTGACCCTCCACCTCTCTGCAGTTCCGCTCACTGTCCATGGTGTCTGAGTGCCTGTTCTCGCTCATCAACGGCGATGACATGTTCGTGACGTTCGCCGCCATGCAGGCGCAGCAGGGCCGCAGCAGCCTGGTGTGGCTCTTCTCGCAGCTCTACCTGTACTCCTTCATCAGCCTCTTCATCTACATGGTGCTCAGCCTCTTCATTGCGCTCATCACCGGCGCCTATGACACCATCAAGGTCAGTCACGCGTGCTCAGCCACGCACCGGGCCCCAAGCTCGGGCTCTGGGTGCCCGGAGTCTGCCATGCAGGAGTTCTGGGGACACCACAGGTGAACAGAGAAGAAATATAGAATATGTTCTTCTATATAGTCTATATTTGGGAAAGAATATAGGCAACTCTGTGAAACCAAAAAGAGGGTGGTTCAAAATTGGGGGCCCCAAGGGAAACTGATGGCATCTCAGCCTTGGCAAGGTGGGTTTGGGCCAGGAGGGTGCCGAAGTCTGCCTTTACCTTTACAGGGTAACCAAGTCATAGTTTATTTATTTATTTGTTTGTTTATTTAAGATGGACTTGCTCTCTGTCGCTCAGGCTGGAGTGCAGTGGTGCCATCTTGGCTCTCTACAACCTTTGCCTTCCCAGTTCAAGCAGTTCTGCTGCCTCAGCCTCCTGAGTAGCTGGGACTACAGGCCTGCGCCACCATGCCCAGCTAATTTTTGTATTTTTAGTAGAGATGGGGTTTTGCCATGTTGGCCAGGCTGGTCTCCATCCAGCTCCTGACCTCCTGATCCGCCCGCCTCGGCCTCCTAAAGTGCTGGGATTGCAGGCGTGAGCCACCATACCCAGACCATTATTTGTTTCTTTTGAAATGGAATCTTGCTCTGTGGTCCAGGCTGCAGTACAGTGCTGTGATCTTGGCTCACTACAACCTCCGCCTCCTGAGGTCAAGTGATTCTCCTGCCTCAGCCTCCTGAGTAGCTGGGATTACCGGCATGAGCCACCACACCTGGCTAATTTTCGTATTTTTACTAGAGATGGGGTTTCACCACATTGGCCAGGCTGGTCTGGAACTCTTGACTTCAAGTAATCCACCCGCCTTGGCCTCCCAAGGTGCTGGGATTACAGGCATGAGCCACCGTGCTCAGCGAAGTCATAGAGTTTCAACGACCTTGTCATTGACCCTGGGACATTGCCATTCACATGGTGACCCTCAGCTGGCCCCATTCCTAAGGCTGACCCCCAGGGACCCCACACTGTCCTCAGCCCCCAGCCGTGCCCCCAGTTCCCTCTGACCCCACCCAAGGTTAACTTCTAAGCAGTAAAACTGAGCTCAACTCAGGGCTGTCTGATTCCAGAAGCCATGCTCCTAATCCCCTGTCTTCTGTCAAGTTGGGTGGCTGGGAACAGTGGTTTCCCAGCAAGCTGCAAGGATCAGGGGACAGAGCAGGATATGGAAATGGCAGATAGACATGTGGAAGTGACAGACAGTCATATGTAAGGGCCAAGATCTGTGTCGGATTCTGGGCATAGAGGAAAATCAGGTGTACGTGATCTGTCCAAGGCCTCTGGGCAAGGTGCATGGGACAGGAGCAGACAACCCATGACCAATGACCTACTTGTAACAGTATGAAGGAAGAGTGAAAGATTACAGAGGGACTCCTGCTTTAGATTGGTATGAGAGTAGGTCCAGGAGAACTTCTAGAATGTTCTATTACTAGTCTCTAGCCCCATGCAGCTATTTAAATTTTGATTTTGATTCTGGCTGGGCACAGTGATTCATGCTTGAAAACTTAGCACTTTGGGAGGCTGAGGTGGGCATATCAGCTGAGGTCATGAGTTAAGAGACCAGCCTGGCCAACGTGGTAAAACCCCATGTCTACTAAAAATATAAAAAATTAGCCAGCCGTGGTGGCACACACCTATAATCCCAGCTACTCCAAAGGCTGAGGTAGTAAAATTGCTTGCACCTGGGAGGCAGAGGTTGCAGTGAGCTGAAATTGAGCCACTGCACTCCAACCTGGGCAACAGAGTGAAACTCTGCCTGGGGGGAAAAATTTTTTTTTTTTTTAATTTTAATTCAGGCTGGGCGAGGTGGTGGTTCATGCCCGTAATCCCAGCATTTTAGGAGGCTGAGGTGGGTGGATAATGAGGTCAGGAGTTCAGACCAGCCTGGCCAAGATGGTGAAACCCCATCTCTACTAAAAGTACATATTAGCCGGGTGTGGTGGTGGGTGCCTGTAATCCCAGCTACTCGGGAGGCTGAGGCAGGAGAATTGCTTGAACCCGGAGGTTGCAGTGAGCCGAGATGGCACCACTGCACTCTAGCCTGGGTGACAGAACAAGACTCTGTCTCAAAAGAAAAAAATTAATTCAAATGAAATAGAATTGCAAATTCAGTTCCTGACTGGCACCATCCTGTATCCACTGCCCAAAAGCCAGTGTGGCTGGTGGCTGCCATACTGGACAGCATAGACATTGAACCTTTCCATCGTCTCTAGACCTGAGATGGAGCCCGAGGGGCAGTGCATTGAGGGAAAGGAATAGCTAAAGCAAAGGCCTAGTAGCTGGAAAATACTTGGAGAAAAGTTAGTCCCTCCATGAGGCTGAGCGAGAAGAAGGAAACCTTGGCTGGGACCCTGCCACATCCAGTGTCACCGGCAGATGAGTCCACCCCCTTTTCCCCATGCACAGATTCAGCTGTCCTACAGACACATTCAGTCAGGCCCTGGGAACTACTTCCTGTCTCGCCCTAGCACTTAGATGCCACACGCATGAATCCACTCTGGTGGGCAAACTCAGGCCCTGCTCCCACGGCTGGGCTTAGCCCGCATCCGGCTCATTCAGTAGATGGTTTCTGAGCACCGAGGTCGTGTCAGGTCTGGCTCTAGGTCTCTAGGTGCTGGGCCCACAGCAGAGGGCACCAGACTGGCAGATACAACTTGTGTCTAGGTACGGGGGTCTCTGTGCAAGGAAACTATGAAACCACGGGTCAGCAGGCACAGCAAGAGCAAAGGCGGGGGGTGGGGGGTTGCGGGGTAGGGGTGGGGGGTGGGAAGCGATGCAGATGGCTGGAGGGGAGGGCGGACTTCAAGGGTCTTAGAGGTTGGGGGCCACTTTCAGGCTGAGTTTCCTGGCTTCTCTTCCCAGCATCCCGGCGGCGCAGGTGCAGAGGAGAGTGAGCTCCAGGCCTACATCGCGCAGTGCCAGGACACCCCAACCTCTGGAAAGTTCCGCCGCGGGAGCGGCTCGGCCTGCAGCCTTCTCTGCTGCTGCGGAAGGTTCGAGTCCTGGGTCTGGCCCATTCAGATTGGGGGTTGGGGGCTGGGGAAAACGGAGCGAGCGAGAGAAAACTGACGCCCCTCTTCCTTGCTTCCCTCCTCCAGGGACCCCTCGGAGGAGCATTCGCTGCTGGTGAATTGATTCGACCTCGACTGCCATTGGACCTTAACCCTGGACTTCGGAGACCCCCGCCCTCGCTTATTTATTCTTAGGGTTTGCTTTTAAGGATCGGCTCCCTGCCGCGCCCAAGGAGGGCCTGGACCTTTCGAGTCGGACCCTTGGGGCGGGGAGACAGGGTGGGAAGGGTGTTCAATAAAAGGGAAAATAAATGTGTCGTTCTCATTTTTAGCCAGAGGAGCAGTCCTTGCATTAAGCTGTGTGTGGCCCCTTAATGCGCGGCCACACTCAGCAGGGCAGCCTTAGTCGGTCTTCTAAGCATGGCGGGGGCGGGGCGGGGCGGGGCGGGGCTGCGGCACGCCTTGCGGTGAATAATTTAAAGGGGCCGCGCCTGCAGAGTCGGCCTGAATGCTAGCGGTGTTGGTGCGGAGTGGACCCCGGCTGCGGCCCCTGGGTAAGTCCGGGTTTCCGTCGGCCTCGCAGGCGTGTCCCTTCGAGGGTCATTAGCGAGCTTCTGCTTTCCCAAAATCTGTCCTCCGATTCAGGTTAACTTTCGACTTTCTGATGGTCCCATCTCCCTACTACCCGGCAGGTGTTTCCGCACCAGTAGCCAGGTGTGCCCTGGGGTGGAAGAGGACCTGCCACCCAGGAATTTTCCAAGAAAGGAAGCCTCCAGGATTCCTTCCCCCGCCCCCCCGACCCCCGAATTTCCATTAATACTCAAGCAGTGTCCGAAACATCCTCAGCTTCCCAAAAAAATCCCAGTAATATTCCAGCCTGTCTCAGTATCTTCCAAGGAGACAGGACGCCCTCCCCAGGCCCGCCCTCATAAGCACCCCAGGAATGTACCCACCCACCTCCGGTTTTTCCCAGCAGTAGTCCTGTAATCTTCAGAATCTCTCAGTAACTTTCCAGTACCCTCCCACCCCAACCCCAGTAATCCCAGCGTCCCTGGTTACGCCTCCCAGCAATGGCGCCAGCATCGGTTCCGGAGTCCCAGTGATGCTCCGTGCCATAAAGCCGCCGTAACTTCACTACTACGTGGTAGTAAATCTCCAGCAAAACCCAGCAGCGCCTTGCAAATCCACGCCACCCCAAGCATCCTAGGACTCTTCTGAAACGTGGGTATCAGACGCCTTCTGCGGTGCCCCTGAGAGCACTCCTGTGCCCTCCAGACCCTGGGTCTAACCGGGGGCAGGCTTGGGTTGGGAACCGGGTATCTAGGTGCCCACCCCCGGACCCCACGGCTTGCAGGCCCCAGTTTTCCTGGGGTGGGGCATTCAGTCTTCGACAGAGTAGGGGGTGCAGCCTGGGGGCTCGGGTGGTCAGGCTTGATCAATCCCGTAGAGAGCGGTGACCCAGAAGGAAGTCATCAGCTGCAAGGAACTGTGCCCTGCGGGTACCTGCCTGCAGGCTGCTGACAGTGGGTGCCAGGTCGGCCTTTGGCCCCAGGGTGGGGTTGGACGGGCGGGGCGTCTGGTAGGCCCTAGGAGTAGGCGAAGGGAGCCAGGCAGGAAGCCGGGGACCCGCCTCACCTCCTGGCCGGGGCAGGGAGATCGGTTTGCCCCATTCCTTAGTCCTGCCGCGTCCCTCTAGCCGCGCCCCTGACAGTTGGCGAAGCTACCCCCTCAGGGGGCGGGGTTTGAGCTGAGGGCAGGGCTTGAGGCAGGGGAGGGTCGGGCCCAGATTGACAACTTGCACGGATTCCTTAGACTCCTTGACTTTCCAGGACCCCGGGCTAGCAGATCTGCTGTCCAGCTGGAATCCACCGATGGAGGCTCCGCTGCAAACAGGAATGGTAAGGGGCGGGGCGGCGCGGGGGACGGATGCGGGTGCGGGGCGCCACGGGGACTACAACTCCCGGAGTGCTCAGCGCGCATTACGTGTTCTGGCGAGGGCACGTTGCGTCTGCTCCGGCGGAACTACGTTTCCCGGCATGCACTGCGGACCGCTGGGCCTCCGGGAAGAGTCGCGCCCCCGGGGAGCTAGCGGCGCTGGCCCATTCTGCAGATGGGGTTATCGAGTCACGAGTTGCTTACGAACTCCTCGGGAGCGAAGGTGACGGAGAGCGATGGGGTCCAGGACGTCCCGGCCCCCGGGGAGGGCCGGGCGGGACGGATTTGCGGTCCGCAGCCGGTGCCGTTTGTCCCTCAGGTGCTGGGCGTGATGATCGGGGCCGGAGTGGCGGTCGTGGTCACGGCCGTGCTCATCCTCCTGGTGGTGCGGAGGCTGCGAGTGCCGAGTGAGCAACCGAGGGGCCGCTCTTGGGAGGCTGTGGGGTGGGGGGGGCCAAATGCCCGGGTCTTGAGGCGGTAGAGATGGGGATTTGCTGGCGTCTGCACGCAGTCCCCCAGCTCTGGCAACGTGGAGTCTGCGCAGAACTCCTAGTGCCCCTGTCCCCACTTATCCTCAGAAACCCCAGCCCCAGATGGCCCCCGGTATCGGTTCCGGAAGAGGGACAAAGTGCTGTTCTATGGCCGGAAGATTATGCGGAAGGTGAGTCCGGGACCCCCTGCCGTCAGCCCTGACCACACTGAGGCCCCACCCCTTCCCTATTTACACTTCTTAAGAGTCCACCACTGGCCGGGCGCGGTGGCTCAAGCCTGTAATCCCAGCACTTTGGGAGGCCGAGGCGGGTGGATCACGAGGTCAAGAGATCGAGACCATCCTGGTCAACATGGTGAAACCCCGTCTCTACTAAAAATACAAAAAATTAGCTGGGCATGGTGGTGCGTGCCTATAATCCCAGCTACTCAGGAGGCTGAGGCAGGAGAATTGCCTGAACCCAGGAGGCAGAGGTTGCAGTGAGCCGAGATCGCGCCATTGCACTCCAGCCTGGGTAACAAGAGCGAAACTCCGTCTCAAAAAAAAAAAAAAAAGATTGTGCCACTGCACTCCAGCCTGGTGACAGAGCTAGAGTCCGTCTCAAAAACAACCCAAAAAAGCCGGGCGCGGTGGCTCAAGCCTGTAATCCCAGCACTTTGGGAGACCGAGGTGGGTGGATCACAAGGTCGAGAGATCGAGACCATCCTAGTCAACATGGTGAAACCCCGTCTCTACTAAAAATACAAAAAATTAGCTGGGCATGGTGGTGCGTGCCTGTAATCCCAGCTACTCAGGAGGCTGAGGCAGGAGAATTGCCTGAACCCAGGAGGCGGAGGTTGCGGTGAGCCGAGATCACGCCATTGCACTCCAGCCTGGGTAACAAGAGCGAAACTCCCAACTCAAAAAAAAAAAAAAAAAGAGTCCACCACCAACCCCTCCTTGATGGAGAGCCCCTGGATCCATCTCCCTCTCTCCTAGGGTCTGAATTATCAGTTAACCCGTCCCCTCCTTCATTCTCCCAGGTGTCACAGTCCACTTCCTCCCTCGTGGATACCTCTGTCTCCACCACTTCCCGGCCACGCATGAAGAAGAAACTGAAGATGCTCAACATCGCCAAGAAGTAAGTCTGTGCTGGGTATGACCTGGTATTGGGGATTATCTCAGAGGCCTTTTGAGTCATCAATGCACGCCAAAGTGTTGTGAAAATCTTCCCATATCGGCCAGGTGCGGTGGCTCACACCTGTAATCCCAGCACTTTGGGAGGCGGAGGCAGGTAAATCACTGAGGTCAGGAGTTCGAGACCAGCCTGGCCAACATGGAGAAACCCCGTCCCTACTAAAAATGCAAAAATTAGCTGGGTGTGGTGGCCGGCGCTTCTAATCCCAGCTACTCAGGAGGTTGAGACAGAAGAGTCACTTGAACCCGGAATTGGAGGTTGCAGAGAGCTGAGATCGCACCACTGCACTACAGCCTGGGTTACAGAGCGACACTCTTTTTTTTTTTTTTTTTGAGACAAAGTCTTCTGGTATCAGAGGGACATCTCTGGACTCTGGTCTGAGGGGATATCTTAGAGCTCTTTCACACCAGACATGCTGTCTCTAGGGGTCTCTGTCCCGTGAGAGCCAGCTCAGTGATGGTCTCTTTCCACTGGGGTATCTGAGCTACTTGTTCCCAAGTCATTATCTCAGAGGTTTTGCCATATATTTGGGGGGGTCTACATCAGGGGTCTCCATATAGATTATTTCATGGGTCTCCTCACATGAGTGGTTTTATTCCAGGGTACCTCACCGAGGTCATTCTAAGTGTTTCCTTGATTTCCTAAAGGGACTATTTCCAGCCTCCAGCCTCTCTTCTCCAGGGGTTATCAGCCATCTCTCTACATCAGAAGCATCTCTCTTGGCCAGGCACGGTGGCTCATGCCTGTAATCCCAGCACTATGGGAGGCCGAGGAAGGTAGATCACGAGGTCAGGATTTCAAGACCAGCCTGGCCAAAAGGGTGAAACCCCGTCTCTACTAAAATATTAAAAAAATATATATAAAATTAGCCAGGCACAGTGGCAGGTGCCTGTAATCCCAGTTACTTGGGAGGCTGAGGCAGGAGAATTGCTTGAACCCAGGAGGCAGAGGATGGAGAGAGCTGAGATCATGCCACTGCACTCCATCCTGGGCAACAGAGCAAGACTCTGTCTCAAAAAAAACAACGAAGAAGAAGGCATCTCTCCTGTGTCATGGACCTTAGAGTTCTTCCCATACGAAGGCGGCTGTCTCAGGAGTTTCTAATCCCTAGGGGCTAGCTCAGGAAACTTCTTGCACTAGAAACATAGGAAGGATACCTCAGAGATTCCTGTTAGTGGCAAGGAGCTATCTCAGGGTCTGTGAGAAAGGCTCTCCAACTCTCTTTGCAAGGCGGGTGCTGGCCCTGGGATCTCCTTGCACCGTGGAGTCTACCTGAAGGTCTGCCTCGAGGGTTTCTTCACACTAGGACATCATCCCAGGGCTCTCCATGATCAGTAGTCCTGCAGTGGCAGGGCTTTCTATGAGTTGAGTAGAATGGCTGTTTCGGCCGGATGTGGTGGCTCATGCCTATAATCCCAGCACTTAGGGAGGCTGAGGTGGGTGGATCACCTGAGGTCAGGAGTTCAAGACCAACCTGGCCAACACAGTAAAACTCTGTCTCTACTAAAAATACAAAAATTATGCTTTCTGGAATATGCCTGAAAAAAAAAAAGAAAGAAAGAAAAATATAAAAATTAGCTGGGTGTGGTGGCACGTGCCTATAGTCCCAGCTACTCAGAAGGCTGAGGCAGAAGAATCGATTGAATGAGGGAGGCAGAGGTTGCAGTGAGCTGAGACCACGTCATTGCACTCCAGTCTGGGTGACAGGGCAAAACTGTCTCAAAAAAAA